GGGGGGGGGCCCTTACTCGAGAGGGGCGTTTACCTTGAGAGAGGCGCGTATTTGAACGTGGCTTAATCGAAAAAGATTAAAAGTGAAAATGCACTGAGAATAATGGAAAATGCGCTGAGACCACTTGAAAAGTGTCTACATATCATAATGCGCTCTTTCGGGAGATTTTTTTTGCTTGCGAGGAATGCTCTATCATTCTTTTGCACAAGTTAAAACTGACTTTGCTTTGACAGTGGTCTTCGGTCGCGTCAAAAGTTTCCTTGTATTGGTAATATCTCTCATTCGATCGCTTCGTTCACTCCTGATAGACATCATCAACGCTCAAAGATAAAATTCGTTTGCACGTATGGTCATGAGTATATATACGTAAATACCCTTTGATTTCAAAATATATAGGCTCAAGTTTAGGAATGTTGCACCTCAATAACAAAATCCTTTTTTCATACCATGATATACATATTTTTGTTTCAGGTAGGAGGCTTTCAACTTCCTTTCATCATTATGGGTATAATTCTGTTATGTAGCACTGGAGTTTTAGCTTTTCTGCTATCAGACGAAACAGGTTGGTGAGGTAATTCATGTAAACTATCCGTTAGACTTAGTACTTTTCTTTTTGATATATTTATCCACTTGAAACATTTCCTTTATTTTAACTGATTAGAGAGTCAGAAAGATGATGAATCAAAAGAAAGCATATCCATTTGTAAATCTATGCGACCATTAAAGATTCCCGCTGTTTTTATGATGGGTAAGTTTCACATGCATCCTGGGTAAGCCATTAACTATAAATAACACAGCACGCGAGCAAGCTGTCAGTGGGCACGAGAAATTCGAGCCAGTCTTTTTGCAGCTCGTGCCGTTAAACCGGCAAAAAAATTGCAAGTTATGTTTCCAATCCACTTCACGACGCTATTCTATTTGTGAAAAAAAAATCAAGATTGAACATCTAGGATAAGTATCACGCAAATTTAGCTGCATACGATTTTTTTCCCAAACGAAATTTATCACTATGGCTCCCATACATAGCTCTTTACCCATCATTTTGTGAACTTAATTCCCCGTAAAAACTAGTGGCGCCCTTTGTTTGCGGCCTTAATTCTTTCCAAAGCGAAAACTTATTGGAAAGTCAACATTTCTTTTTTTTGTACCCAGAGTTTACCTCTGTTATCGGTTGCTTGTGTTATGGTTTCACACAACCAATCTTGGCGCCTCAGTTAAGGAAGGTAAGTTGGTTTTGTATATCTAACCTCGATATTGGTGATAAGTTACGATATTTAGTAACATCGAAATCGAAATCTTCCTCAGCAAATTTATTTTGGCGCATAAACTACGTGTACAACTTTGGTCATAAGTCTTTATCTGTTTCCTTATAGCTGGGTCAAAATAGCGTACAGATTGGTCTTGTTTTCTTCTTATTTGCCGGTTTTAACGCCCTCTCAGCGTTAGCATTGGGCTTTATAGCAGACAAAACGGTAAGTGAGAATTTCTACTCATCTATTACAACCCCGCCTCCCCGGCTTTTTTCCGGCAAAATTGCGTCGGCTCTGCGTGAATATCACGCCGACTTTAAAATTATCGAGCGACGAAGAATGCTAAGCCAGGACTGTTTGTAATCCTTTTTCTTACCTTGGGAAACTCTAGTTTCTCTTCAGTTCTGTCGAGTTTAAGGTGTTTTAGCAGTGGCAGACAATGAGCTCCTAGTTTTATACATTTATTTTTATGGTCACGAAAGATTATGGGTCGGGATCTGCTAAACTCTACTCTTATTCTACTCTTTCTTGTACTGATCTTAACAGAAAACAATCTTGTCTCTTATTTCTTCAAATCAGTATTCCATGTTTTAGTGAGAACGCAGCAGTCAAAACAAAGTCTTTTTAAGGCTTGGTGACTACGCGGAAGCTCCTTGTTTATCCCTGTTACGCTGTACTATATAATAATAATAAATAAGATCTTTTGACAGGGAGCCCACGTCACAAAGTGTGGTTTTCAGTGAGGCCCTGCATAAATCTAACGTAAGGATAACAGAAAATATAAATATGGTTATCAAGAATAGGATAAAAGGGTATAATCAATAGAAGAGACTACATGTTTTTAACAAGACGTCTAAAAACTGAAAAATCGGAAATGTTCCTAATGCCGTCTGGGAGAGCGTTCCAGTCATCTACTTCTCTTATTCGAAATATCAGACGACCTTTTTTAGCTGTCACCTCATGGTAACCGAATGTCGGTATCAGTTTAGATATAATTTAGCCCAAATGTTCACAGGAAGTTTTGATAACCACGTATGAAAGTCCTCCTACTTAGTCTCGTCGTGATAGCAGCGATCTCGCAAGTAACAAAGTAAGGTTACGAAAAATAATCGGCCAAAACAGCAAATATAGCGACGAAGTAATACTAACTTGCAGATGGATTTTCTCAAACTGAGACTTTCCCAAAAAACCCTGCCACTTGCAGAAGTGATGATTGTACGCATCACTTGCTAGAAAGAATTAGTTTTAAAATTTGATATGCTTGAGCGAGAGAGCTTTAATCGTGTGTCCTACTCACCAGATCAAATGAACGAAGAGCTTTTATTGTCGCGTCCTTGTTTGTCGTCGAGTTGAGTTTGAATGTCTGATGCCGAGTGACTACAGTTACCGTATTCCTGCAAATAAGCGCCACGCTCTAATATACATCCTTTTTCGAAAAAGCACCCATCCTCTTGGCCATAATGACAAACGAGCGCCCTTCTCGAATAAGCTCTTGCCCTTGTCTCGTACCAATATCTACTACGGCCAAGTGGTTGGATGTTGGCACGAGAATACAACTGCCCCCCTCCTCCCGTACGTTCTTAAATAGTAGGGATACAAGGAAACTTGTTTTTACTGCCACTTTATTTACAAATTTTTAAGCATTAACTACGGTGTAATCAGTTCAGAAGAATACTTTCTTTTCCATTTCATTTATTTTCTTGCAGAGTTCCTTTGTT